ATCATGGCCAGCTTTGCATGGAACGCTCCCTTGATTTCTCCAATTTTCTTGAAGAGATCTCTAGTCCTTCCCATTCTATTGTTTTCTTCTATTACTTTGCACTGTTCATTCAGGAAGGCCTCCTTATCTCTCCTTGCTGTTCTCTGGAAATCTGCGTTCAGTTGGGTAAATCTTTCCTTTTCGCCTTTGCCTTTCGCTTTCCTTCTTTCCTCTGCTATTTGTAAAGCCTCATCAGAAAGCCACTTTGCTTTCTTACATTTCTTTTTCTTTGGGATGGTGGTGATTGCTGCCTCCTGTACGATGTCACGAACCTCTGTCCATAGTTCTTCAGGCACTCTATCTATCAAATCCAGACCCTTGAATCTATTCTTCACCTCTACTGTATATTCATCAGGGATGCGATCTAGGTTAAACCTGAATGGCGTCGTGGTTTTCCCGATTTTCTTCAATTTAAGTCTGAATTTTGCAATGAGTAGCTCATGATCTGAACCACAGTCAGCTCCAGGTCTTGTTTTTACTGACTGGATAGAGCTTCTCCATCTTTGACTGCAAATTATATAGTCAATCTGATTGCGGTGTTGCCCATCTGGTGATGTCCATGTGTAGAGTCGCCTCTTAGGTTGTTGGAAAAGGGTGTTCGCTATGACCAGTGTGTTCTCTTGACAAAACTCTGTTAACCTTTGCCCTGCTTCATTTTGCTTTCCAAGGCCAAACTTGTCTGTTATTCCGGTTACCTTTTGACTTCCTACTTTAGCATTCCAGTCCCCTATGATGATGAGGACATCATTTTTTGGTGTTAGTTCTATAAGGTGTTGTAGGTCTTCATAGAACCGGTCCACTTCAGCCTCTTCTGCATCAGTGGTTGGGGCATAGACTTGGATTACTGTGATGTTGAATGGTTTGCCTTGGAATCGGACAGAAATCATTCTGTCATTTTTGAGATTGCATCCCAGTACTGACTTTTGCACTCTCTTGTTGACTATAAAGGCCACACCATTTTTTCTACGAGATTCCTGGCCACAGTAGTAGATATAATGGTCTTCTGAGTTAAATTCTGTGGTGCTTACTCCCAGATAAATATCAATAGAATGTGCTGTTATCCTACATGGGCTGCAATCTTGTGTTCATTTATGTGGGATTTAACGTTCATGGGATTATTGTGGATTATGAATTCATAAAAATTAAGCTTCTCAAGACTGTAACCTCCACTCCATAGAACAGGGCATATCCACATATAGATATAACTAGTTCAACAATCATTCCATATTTTCATGCATCCTGGTAATTGTAGTTCTGAGAAGGGGAGCATGGGACTCTCTAAAAGAAATCCACAGCTCATCATCAAACTGTTTGAACTACTTTTTCTGAGGCTGTTATAGTTACAGTTTATAAGCATTACATATAAGTTTGTAGTCCCTGGTATTATCTTTGTGTTGCAGATGAGGGGTTTCTTGAATAGAGTTATTGACAGACTTCATTGTCTGAATATCCATCTGTTTCCAGTGTTCTGAAGGAGAGACATAATTACTTCTTTCATAGTTTTCCTAAAGCCATGCATTGTATAACTGTCATGTTTTATTGGTCCACTTAAGATAATCACACTTTCAGATCTACATTTTTCTTATGATCTGTTAAGCAGAAAATGGTAGCATCTCTATTTAGAGACAGGAAGAAACAATTTAAACATATAATATTTAAGTAGCTCTGTTAGAGATTAACAAAGACATTGTGGAAGCAGAAGATGGTGGAAGCTATCCTGAGAAGGTCTGCTCAGAAGTAAGCCCCATTTTATCTAATAGAGTTTATTCCCAGGAAAGTGCTTTTAGGATTACAGATAGAGTCACCTTAAAGGTCTTAAAGGTGCTACTGGACTCGAAATTTTACCTACTATAATGTAAACCTATAAGGCACTCTTCATTTTAATTGGATACCCCTAATATTTTATTCTCTGTAATCAGCAAAAACCTGACAGTCATTCATCTTCTACCTGCAAGCTGCCCTTGCTGTTGGCTGAACTGCTTTAATGTCATGTGATTATCATAAACTTTTGAAAGCCTCTTAAGGAAAGGAGAAGCTATCTTTAATGATAACAGAAATGATGCAGTGTATTAGGGAAGTGGAAACCCTGACCGGAGGAGAGGAAACATTACATATTTGTATGGAAGCGGGAGTGGTTTGCAGGGCTCTTTTTATAGCAGGAGCTACTTTGCATATTAGGCCACACACCCCTAATGTAGCCAATCCTCCAAGAGCTTACAGTAGCCCCAGTAAGAAGAGCTCTGTAAGCTCTTGGAGGATTGGCTACACTAGGGGTGTGTGGCCTAATAGGCAAAGGAGTTCCTGCTACAAAAAGAGCTACAAAAAGTGCGGGTACTGAGCACACTAGTCCTGATTTAGTCAGATCCAGGAAGCTAAGCAGGGTTGGTCCTTGTTAGTATTCGGATGGGAGACCACCAAGGAAGTCCGAGCTTGTTACACAGAGGCAGGCAATGGCAAAACCCTCTGATCATCTGTCTCCTTGCCTTGAAAACTACATGGGGTTGCCATAAGTCACCTGTGACCTTATGGCACTTCCCCCCTCCACTGAGCACGAATAGAGATGGTGATGGTGGAAGGAAATAACAGGAGAAAGAACGCCCATGAAGTAGGGAAGAAAGGCAAGGAGGTGAGGTAGCTAAAGAAAGGGAACAAATCAAGGTCTGTAAGCAGGGACCTGACAGTAGGCAAGAAGGGGGAAGCAAAAAGCAGAGGGAAAGAGGAGACCCTATGAAAGCTGGACTTTGGAAAAACCTGGACTTTAAACGAAGAGAGCTGTATGGTTTTCACAAAAAAGGCACAGGAAGGACTTGCAAAATGGTATTGAAAGGGCGTAGAGGAGAAATGTTTGAAGAAAGGACAGAGGAAATGATTGGATTGAGCAAAGGAAGGACCAGTGTGATAATGAACAGGTGTGGGGAGGAACCCCTCAGTGAATGGTGGTCGATATGAGATAGGGAACAAAACCAACTAGTTATGTACTGCATGGATAGCTAGCCTTCCCAAGATCATGTTCAAAGCTTCCTGTATTTTACTTTCAGTAACATTTCCACTTTGTTTTATTATTATTCTAGTTTTTCCAGTTTGTTGTTTTGTTTTCATTCATATTCTAGTTCACTTTCCAGTCTTCAGTATATGGAACTGTTATTTAATTTTTTTCATAAAATGTGTTAATTTGAATGTCCTGTTAAGTGAATCTTCTTATGTTAAATGATAATATTCTTGATTTTTCAGTATGGCTTTTGGCAACAAGGTCACTGCTGGGTCAAGAATGCCAGTTTATTACAAAAAATTTGCTTGCTCTTGTTAATCAATGTAGTGATTGACGGAGCAGGGTAACCTGCTATGTTTACAATGGTAAATGACAGTTTTCATTTGCTGTTACTTGACAGGTGAATTTGTTAGTAGCCAATCACAACTAATCACTGATCTTGGATGATACTTTTAGGACACAAAGCTTCTGTTCTCTCAGAGCTCCTTTACCCCCATCCCCTGGTAAGCCGTTCGCATGGTGAATCCTTTTCAGCCCTATTGGTGAAGAATGAAAATTACATTTAGTTTAAAATCTTCCAATTTTTCATCATATATGATGTCTAGAGGTCCTCTTACTGGACTGTTAGATAGAAGGAACTATTTTGTTAATTCTGCTTTTTGAACCAGAAGATGGGAACATGATCCAGACCATGTCAAGCATTTTTAGAATGTAAAAGAGGTTTAAGCATGAGGAAGCTTTCTCATTGCAAACAATGAAATTTAAAAGCGTTTAGCCGTATTGTACCCTGTGATGATAAGCATTATGTAATCCTCTTTCAGTTCTCCCTTTAATTCAGAGGAAGAATATTTATCATGATTTTGAAAAGTGCCAGTGAACCACTAGGCAAGGATCAAGTGGGGATCAGGGTCAGGTCATCTTCGAAACACCAAAATACGACAGACCAGTAGCTATTTTGTATTGGAGCTGAGTAAAAACAGGTTTTTTGTTTGTTTAATGTCCTTGTTTATTTCCCTTTTCAAATTAAAATTAGGAAGGGAAATGAAAACTGGTAGGTCCTTTAGGTTTGTCAGAGCCTCTACAGCAATGCTGTACCATCAACAGGACAGCCTTCTCTTAATGTTTCTCAGCTTCTGGACCACACCAGGGCTGTGATCACACACACTAACTAATCCACTTTCAATCCACTTTCAGTGCACTTTCCAACTGGATTTTACTGTGTGACCTGGCAAAATCCAATTCAAAAGTGCACTGATAGTGGATTGAAAGTGGATTATTTAGTGTGTGTGATCGCAGCCCTGGTGTTGTCCAATTACAGGTTGCTCATTGTACATTCACCTCTGATGCAGGATCTACTTGTCTAACCCAACAATTAATCATTGTACCATTGACACAACCTTATTTTTTAAAATCACATGCAGTCAATTTTCTTTTCAGAATAAGCAAACATTTTGAAATAAAGTCTCACATCAGTTAGTAATACATGTTCAGAACCCAAGAAACCTGTCATGCATTGCCAGTTGTACCATTCAACCAAAAGTGTCTAGTCCTGTTCAATTAAACTGTGCTAAGTAAAACATGCTAGTGATATGTTTAATAACGGGATGTTCTGTGATGGAAGCCTGTAGAGAAACACTCCTAGTACTAATGACATTCTTCTTCCTTCTTTTTTTCTTCTCTCTCTCTCTCTCTCTCTCTCTCTCCCCCCTTGTCCTTTAGATCTCATTAGATGTACCCAGACAATGATCCCAAAGAATATAAGATAACTGCCAGCAGCTAAGCAAGAAGGTTCACTGGGTGCATTACTAAAATCCTGGAAGGGTGCAAGAAGCTGTCCTGCTGGCTGGTCCATTGGGAGGAGCTCTGAGAACACTGTTCTAGTGAACATATTTGTAAGCCTTGGACCAGGACAATAACCACAGTGCCTGCAATACCACAGAAGGGACTTGGAAAGAAGGCAAACAGTGCAACCATGGATAAGGACAGTATGACCCTGGCTGATCAGCAGTATGAATGTGTAGCTGAGATTGGTGAAGGAGCCTACGGAAAGGTGTTCAAAGCCCGGGACTTGAAGAATGGAGGGCGCTTTGTAGCACTGAAGAGGGTGAGAGTGCAGACGAGCGAAGAGGGGATGCCTCTTTCCACCATCCGGGAGGTGGCTGTACTGAAGCACCTGGAAACATTTGAGCATCCCAATGTGGTCAGGTGAGGAATCGGATCAGGGATTACGGTCTTTGGATTGGTCTATATAGGTGAAATAAAGGAATGGTGGATGTCCTGAGCACTGCATTTGGATGTGTGGATTAGAATAGTAGAATAGATGGCTTAAGGTTTGCTCAAGCAAGTATGTTCCCAGCCTAACCCACCTTATACTTTAGCTCTACCTCCCACGCATTCAAGGATCCGTCTCCAGAGGCATAGGTGTGTGACTTAAGTATTTGAGTGGATGGGCATGGAGCCATGCTGTAATCTTCTAAAGCACAAAAAGGAAGTATAAAGAGGGGGAAATTCTTTTGTCCTGAGTATTAGCTGTGCCTAGTACCAGTGCTAAGGAGGGAAGCTGGGCATAGTATAGTCCAGTCTCGTCAGATCTTGTAAGCTAATCAGGGCTGGCACTTGGGAGACTCCCAAGGAAAACTCTGCAGAACCACCGCTGCTTCTCACTTGAAAGTCCCTTGCTGGAGTCACCTAATTCAGCTGCAGATTGACACAGCACTTTCACACAGACAGTACCGATCCTGTTCTTGTGGAATTACCAAACATTGTTGGCATTGGCAATATTTGCTTTAGAAGTTCGTTGGAACAATTTGGTCTAAGCTTTTTAGTATATCCCATCCTGAAAGATCCAGGGAAATGAAGAATATATCAAAATCCTATGTCAAATATCAGATTCCAAATAAATCTGTAGTACCTGAAATGTAACAAAGGCTGAAATTTTGCTGAACTCTCCTCTAAACTTCAGCTGCAAAAAAACTGTGCCTAATGTCTTGCAGCATTTCTGAAAGATACTCAGTTTTTACTGAGATCTCGTTCGATGGGAGTTCTATAGTTGTGGGGAGTTAACAAGACTGGTATTGAGATACCTACATTATCTATGTGGTTCAGACATGGTGAATACAAGGAAGTTCTTTAGGCTCATCCTTAAGATCATGTATGGAAGATAAGGTGGGAAGCAGTCTGGTAAGTGTATTGGGGCCTAGCTACTAACTAAGCAGAAATACTCTCAGCCACTTTGTTGTGTGTGGCCTACAAGTACCTCACTTCTTACAGCAATACAGACATGACAATCCCTTAATAGATCTTCTCAGCATTTTTAAGAGACAGCAGCAGACACCAGTGCCCCCCTTCCTATTCAGATCAGAGCTGAGGTACAGGAGAAGAGGGAGGTTAATCTTTTTCCTCACATTATTTTGCCAGTCAAAATCATCCCCCCCCCAGGCCATTATTAATCCTGAAAGGGGGAGGGAATCTGTAGGACCTTTCTCTTTGTCTTTCCCCCCATCCAGAATTAATAATTGGGGAAGAGTTAAATTGGCATAACTGCTCTCCTCGTGACCTGATCTGAATCAGGACTGATGAGGTTGCCTTTTTAAAAACATGCTGGGAAGATCCATTTTAGAATCTTCTCGTTTCATGTCCATTTTTGTCTTCCACCCATGGCAGCTGGAGTCTCTTTAAGCAGGCCCTTTTTTCTGGTAGTCGTTTTGTCCTGCAGCCCTCTGAAGTCATAATGTTATGACTAGTACTAAGAATCGGGGAATAGAAATGACTGTTCTTTATCATTACTGTTCTCAAATCATGATGACTTTAGCCTTTATTGATAGACACTGAAGACAGTACAAGACTATTTGTTAGCAACTGGGAGTTCTGATCTAAATTTTCCTCTAATTTTCTTGTTCATTTTAATAATTGGAGAGGAAGATTCATTGACCAGTCATGGGTGTTGTCCCAAAAGTTTCAATCATACATTTCTTAAGATGAGTAACATGTTAGATATGTGGTACTGAGTGGTTCAGGTTTGAGTAGTGATTAATTGTAGTAGATCATGCCTGTACATACCAGAAACTAGAAAAAGTTAGGCTAGGAGTCTGTATAATTTTCCAAGCAATGTGAATTCAGTAGTAATATTTTATCTCGGTTTTTGGTGTGTTATTTTACAGTCCAGTAATATTAACAAGTATGTTAAACACTCATTTATTTTTTTAAAAAGTGACAAAGCAAGTTTACATTTGCAACATTAAATAATGAAACTGATTTAAGAAGTCCTTGTTGAAAGAATGCTGTCATCAGTAGGAAAACTGGGTAGGTTGTCATTTGTGTAAGATGAAGGAGGGGGTGACTGTGCAAAAGATAATTAGTTCAGTTTTTCAAGCACTAATCAAATACTGTTCATTTCAGTGGAGCTCATTCTAATAAAGACCTATCAATTATTATCCTGTGCATGAAATTTTTCAGCCAGCTCTTTGCCTCAGTCATATTCATTCCTTGCTAATAAATGTTTATTAAGCTTTCTTAGGAAGGAAAATGTGTTGGTGAAATCCAGAGACATTCAGTTGATTGCCAGTGCAATCTAAACCTAAATGGCACTTTTCTAAGTCTGTCCAGTGGACTTCAGTGGACTTAGAAGAGTGTGACTCTATTTACGATTGCAATGTGCATCGTTCTCCTTGTCTACTAAACATTTACTTATTCAAATAGAAAAACTATGTTGGTCTATTTTGACTTGCTCTGAACAAAACCACATTAGCTATTTATATTTATGCAAGTTTTCTCTGAGTTGCCCAGAAACTTTAAAATGCACAAATTAATGTTTCCTGTAAAGGAATTATTATTAGCTGCACCCATAGTATATAAGAACATTTATTAATTCTAAATCATATTTTAGATGCCCATTCAGAGGAACAATAATAAAGAGTTGAATATATATCGTGATATTTTTAGTAGTAGACACCTGGTATTTTTGGCCACTTTGTGACAAGAGTGTTGGACTAGATGGGCCATTGGCCTGATCCAACATTGGCTTCTCTTATATTCTTATGTTCTTATTAGTTCTATACCTTGGTATCAAGATGCCACTCTCTTTTGAGAAAAGCAGAGACAAATCCAAGCAATTTTTATCAAACATTTTTAACATAGTAATCTGTTTTGATGATGGGTCTCAAAATAGGATTTTTAATTTGGAAGACAAAATTAATCTCTACTGTCTACAGGAAAGAGTAGGCTCTTAAAATCTTAGTAGATATTGATTTATACCTTTAGTCTTCTTCTGATTAGAGAATTAAGAACAATAATAAATATTTTAGAAATATATAAATATAAGAGGAACACGGCACATATCATTAAGCCCTTTCATGCATAATATATATTTTCTACATGGAAAATATAGTTGAGTGCTAGAATATAGACATTTGCTGAATAATAATGTAATATTCAGACCCTTAGTTGGGGAGTTTGGGTTTTTTTTTAATTAGAGACTGCTGTCAACCAATAGGGCTAGCCACCTGACTGAAAAAAGAGAAATGTCTTTGTAGCATCAAGCCTTGGCCTGCAGTTTCCATTCTATGTTGGATTCCATGTTTTGCTAAGGGTGCTTCACAGTTGGGTTTGCATGGGTGGTGATCCTTATTGGGTCTGTATACATATTTCCTATCTGATGGCTGAAATGATCAGTTGCATTGAACCCCTACTCCTCCACACGGGAATAGGTGATCAGTATTAAATTGTGGTCATGTCAGTCTTCTGTATACATATATACATTTACTTATTCAAATAGAAATCTATGTTGGTCTATTTTGACTTGCTCTGAACAAAACCACATTAGCTATTTATGCAAGTTTTCTCTGAGCTGCCCAGAAACTTTAAAATGCACAAATTAATGTTTCCTGTATAGACTGCATATTCACAGAAATGGGGGATTGGTCCTAAGATGTTGAGTAGATTTCCTCTTGTTCTCTTCATTGCTTTGGTTCTCTTCCATACTATGGTTCAAATAAAAAACAGTTGTGAAGTATATTTATAGCATGCCCTATTTCTGATCATGAAGGTTAATAACTTTCCTTCATTTGATTAGTGCTCTTGGCCAAAGCCAAGGCCAATCCTGGTCAGTTGACCATACTACATTCTGTATTTAGCAACATCATGGCTGCAGCCAGTTCACACAGTAAAATCCAGTTGGAAAGTGCACTGTAAGTGGAATGAAAGTGGATTATTTAGTGTGTGTAACCTCAGCCCATGTTTGGTTTTTTAAAAAGCTAACAGTGTTTTCTCTAGACAACTCTTGATGGCCCACAAGGTATTCAGGATGGATCACATTTGCCTAAATGTTATTAATGAACCACAATACTTGGGTTTCTTGCTTGGAACTATATCTAGGTACCTTTCAGGTTCTTACTCTGCTAGGGGTTTTAGGTTCTAGAGCATATAATTTTGTATCTACTTTCGAAGTAATAAAATAAGTCACTGTTTCTAACTAACTTTTATGCATTTCCTCACCTGTTATCTCAACCCTAGTGGACTGAGTAAGGGGGTGGCACCAATCCATGGGGTTCCTTGAGTGTATTAGAGAATTCAGGACTGGCCATTAACTTCAGCACTAGATTACTTCATTGTGAGACCAGCCAAGATGAGAAACAGTGTGAGTTCGTTGTTACCATTTGGGAGCATTTATAGTGCACTGGAAATGTCCATGATTTGTCTGTAGGAGGTTTCAGGTTCAATCCTCAGCCCTTCTGATTAAAGCATTTGTGCAACAGTACTTGCCAAACACTTCTGCATGGGTCTGTGAAGAATCACTGCCAGTCATACCATAGTAGGCTAGATAGACCATTAGCATGACTCATTATAAGGAGGCACCTTAAATACTGTTACTAAAGAACAGATTATCCATATGTGTGTGTGCAACATAGGCAGCCTTCTAGAAATTAAACCGCTGCTCAAATCCTAGATATATTAATTGGAATTCAGAATATTACAAACTCCCTTGGAAATAATTTTTGATGGGTAAATATTCCATTTTCACATTTCTTCTACTAGAAAGCTTTTTGATAAGTATCTTTAAAAAAAAGAACATATGCATAAGTATATCTCACTGCATTTTGTTTATAACATTTCTGATCTTTCGAATGCTGTTGGTAAGATATCTTAAGTGTATCCAGAGTTCAAACAAGAGGATGCAATGCTTCTTTGGCCTTTATTGAGCAAAGAAG